GGGGGGAGTGAATCCAGGGCGAACAATCCAAGGGTAAATCCAGAGGGGGAATCCAAGACGGGAGGTTTAGTCCAAGACCAGGGGATCCATCCGTAGTTAAAACCAGAACCGGGTCGGGACCGGCGGGGCAGGGAATCAGGAACAGGAAACTAAAACCATGACGGAGCCAGACGGGGCAAGACCCCGGGCTCTCACGACACGGAAATCAATGAGAAGCCCCGAGCAATCGCCTGCATCTGGCTTTAAAGGTGGAACTAAAGAGGGGCTGGAATAAGGAACAGGTGTGGGGAATGGGACAGAACGAGGAAGGGGTGGAGCGCCCTTAAGAGGAGGAGTAACGATCGTGACAGAAATGGCTGGATTAGATTCTCAGATCTATTAGCTACTACCAACCAAACAAACTAAATGGGCTGAATTACTTCCTCTCTTTTATGTTTTGAAACTTGAATATTTATTATATTAAAGATAAGGTTGACAACAATATAAATGGCATACATTTGCAATATGCAGTACATAAAGGAAGAGACAGTGAAGATTTGCAAGTTCGACAAGCTTTTCTGGATATGATATGCTTTTACAGGATGAGATCATCTCCATTTAAGAGCTACTGCAGCATTTTCATGAAACAGATCAAATTGTTTAGCAGAAGTGCAGTGCTTGCTTGACTTTCATAATTGTTGAAAGCAGAACAGCTATTTAAAATATTACAAAAATGCATGTTCCTTGTAACTTTTTGGTGTTTAAAAGTGTTTCAAGAATTGAAGGCAGTTTTAGAAGTTCGTAACTTTAATTGTTAGCACAACTATGCGTGAGCCAAATATACTAAATATACTTTAAGTCTTTAAGCATTCAGATTATTCATGAAGAATCCCCAAATGTGACATTGATGGTGTCCATTTTCGCACAGGACTAACCTTGTTAACTGTATGCTTCACTTTCCTTTAATGCTTATACCTGTGTTTAGGTAGTAATAATCATAACTACATGTAAATGCTGGGCTCTTTAAAATGTTTAATGCCTACTGCATGTCTGTTCTTCAGGATCAAGCCTCTGGTTTATTGCATGCATTAATCAAAAGTACACCATACAGATTATACTTGGAGACATCTCTTATCTAGTGTAGATGAATGTCAAATTTATGATTCCCCCATTTATCTAAATAAATATAAGAATATATATATATACTTCTAACAAATCTCTTATTTCCTCTTATTCCCATTGATAGCCTTGCCAGTGACTCATTTTTCACAACCTATTGATTGTCAACACACCTACCTTCTCTTTTCCATACATTAATGCCCTGAAATTCAGTTGTCCTAGGCCATCAAATTCCCTGCTGTTGTCCTTCGGGCTCCAGCACAAGCTACAGATATCGATATAGTTATTACGGTATATGAGGGAAGCAGCTGTCACAGGCCCATCAAGGAGCCGAATTCCTGCATGAGACAGCGATGGATCAATTTAAATCTCTGATTAGCCAGACAGAGCCTACCAATTCACATTTATTTTTGCATTCCTTTAACTACACACTACTAGTAAACCAGTCCCATGTGATGCAAATTGGGTGTCAGTCAAGGCTTGCAGTGTAGAATTTTGTACACACAAAAAAGGTGATTGCCATAATCATAGTAATATAGAACAGATCTGAAAGTATTCGAAATAGCACTTTGTGAGAGCTTGACAGGAAAGGAAATAAGGAGGAAGATTCTTGTTTGAAGAAAGGTAGTAATTTAGAAGGTCGAAGTGGATGCAGTTGAAAAAAAAAGGTGGTTATTTCCACCTCAACTCTGCTTGTTTTTTAACCAGAACAAAAATTTTCACTTTACATTTAGTGACAAATTTGTCATCCTGGTCAATACTATGATATCCACACAAAACAGCTTGTTTTGCATTTATTTTCTGAAAGAAAAGTTGTTGACTTTTCTTTCTGTATTAGAAAAAAAAATCAATGTGCTTTTAATACACATTCATTTTCTCAAAATATTGATGCCCATATGATATATTGTAACCAAGTATTTATTTTGGTTGTGTGTTTCTAACATTACATTTCATAAAAGGTAGGAAAGAGAGCTGTAATATTGTATATGTCCAGCATCTTTTTTCATATCTGCAGCAGAAACTTGGTGAGGATCTGCAGTTTTGCCCTAGTCAAAACGACAGTTTATTTTCAAATGTTATTCAAGTTACTCTAGCTAAGTTGAAAAAAAAATGTTTTTGTACTTAAGTTCATTTTGAACCTCTTTTATACAACCTGGTTTATTAAGTTTTTATTCAGGTGAAATATTTAAGGTGTACTTGGTATGTATAGTGCTTAGTTATAAAATGGATTGGAATAAGACACTGTATTTTAAATTCAGGGACAATGCAGTATACATATTTAAGAGAATAAGAACAGCTACAGATGTGCAAAGGCCATTCATTCCATCTTTTTCATCTGGTTATTATTAGCTTACTATCCAAAATAACCAATAACAGGCATATTTAAACCTTGAAGTGGCACAGCATTTGCAAAATGACATGAAATTCTGGCATGAATACTCTTAATGTTCCATACATTATGAAAAAAGGGTCTCCTGTTCTCAATTTTAAATGTACAAGCATTCAATCACTCTTTCTTTTGTCTTGTCCTGACCTCTGTGTTAAGTATGAAAGAAAAATTTGTATAGACTTTGTCACCCTCTTGATATTTTGAATGCAATGATCAAATTTCCTTGCTCTGTTTTTCAAGACTTTTAATTTAGATGTGACATTAGTTCCAGCCCCAGTATCGCTTAGGCTGCTCTTAACTGAAACCTCTGCTAATCTTTGTCTGTTATCTCCTCACTCTGCATGGATGTGCTCACTAATTTCTCTGTTGGCCATTTGACATCATTGTGCTTCCATCTTTTCACGTTAAACACAAATGCCATCCTAAAACATATCAGTTAAAACTAAAATTAAGCAGAAAAGTACACTACATTTCCACCCACCATTAAATGAGACAAAACTGAGATCTAACTAAATTTACAAAAAGGAAATTCGCTTTATGTAGTATTTGCGTCTGTTGCTTATAACAAGACCTTTGAACCTTCTATCCAATTTTTGATGAATGTAAAATATTCAACAATTCATTTTCTAATCATTTAAGGCTCTCATGTTTATGGACAAAGTAATGAGTCCATAAAGTCTCTCAATTCACCCAAACACTTGGATAAACAGGAGACAAATATTAACTATATGTACTCGTTCACATAGAAAAATATCCAGGTACAGAATTCAAGAAAGCTTAACTTTTGTTTCCTAAACAAAAATTAATATTCATTTGAAATATGAATAACTGATCATATCTATTTTTGATGGTGTATAGTCATGCAGAACTGTTAAACTTTTGAAACAGCATATATGCTTACATATATGCTCTGTGGAATTACAATATCTTGGAACAGAGTGAAAAAGTTGAAAATCTAGAGTCTAAAACAAAATATCCCTTCTTTCTGTTTATGTTAATACATATTGGCATCATCCATCCATCTGTTTTCTAACTGCTTTATCCAATTCAGGGATGTGGCGGAGCCGGTCCCTATGTTGGCAAGGAACGGGCCCAAACAGGGGAACACCCTGGACAGGATGCCAGTCTATGACAGGGTACACACAAATATGTACACACTCACATCAGGGCCAATTTTCCCCGAAATACTGGCATCACACATCATAAATTATTGACCTCACTAAAACATCTTCAGTTCCACTTGCTTAGATGGAAAGTTTCTTAAACTAAGAAGACTTATCACCAGTAAATAAGCAATATTAATTACACATCATAATTTTGTGAATAAAGATAAAGGGAACTGAAACATTCAGTACATCTGAAACTGCATATGGCGTACCAAGTTACCAAACACTAAATTTATTCAACACCAATGTGAAAATGTTTTTTCACCATCACGTGCTGCAATGAGAACATTAATGGGCCACAATGAGACAACCAACCTGTTTTTTCTCTGTGAGATGCTATCCTTTTTGTGACACCTTTTTTTTTTTGTTTTTACTTACATAAATACACTATGAAAGGTGTCTTTTCCCTTGCAGGTATGGAAACATATTTCAAACATTTCCCATGACTTTTCCATTTCTTACAAAAATAAATTGAATTTGCATTGAAACAAGGTAGATATTTTATTCTGTAGCCAGACATTCAGTTTACTACTTTTTTTTTTCAAATGTATGTCCAGCCTTTTCCTGCTGCAAGCAGCTCCCACACATCACAGATTCCCTTTTTACTTTGTCTCCACATTCACAATGTTGTTAGATAATGTTGCAGATTCTCCTTTACTTTGCTTTATGGCTTTCAATTTTCAGGCTAATTGCTACTGTTAGGCATCACATGCAAATGACTAAAAAAAGAGCAATCCAGGAAGCCTGTAATTTTAAATTATAATTTTGGAAAAAAGGTAAGCATCTTGCTTGAACAAATTACATTGTGTGAAATGCCAACCCCACAGAAATTAATTTTGGCCTCCATTTCAACTTCTCCAGCACATTTTGTTCTGTGGCTGTGTAAGATAAAGTTTGAAGCATTTGAAATGAAACATGAATAAACTAGTAGCCTGGCTTTAATTCCAGGATGTTCCGAGATTTTCAAAGATTAAACAAAAACTAGGTAAAGATAACTTTACCTACCTAGCCATGTCAATTAAAAATATAGAATCTAAATGAAGGGCTGTTAAGATAAAGGTGTACAATGCATTAGTAAGACCTCATTTAGAATACAGTGTACAATTTAGGTCACTATGTTACAAGAAGTATTTTGCTGCTCTGAAATCAGTCCAGAGAAAAGCAACTGGATACATTCCCTGGGCTCAGAGGAATGTCCCACACTGACAGGCTAGAAGTACTGAACCATTTAACAAAGTCTTGAACAAAGAAAGTTATGAGTGGATCTGATTCAAGTATTCAAAACCTTAAAAAGCGCTGACAAAGTCAGCCCCAATGGACTTCAGAAACAACAGTGAAACACAAACAAGAGGACACAGGTGGAAACTATGTGGAAGTGCCTTAAAAATGGAGAACAGGAAGTACTTTTTACATACTGTACAAAAGGTTGTGGGAGTCTGGAATGAGCTACCAAGCCATATTGCTGAAGCTGATTTCCTGGTTTCTTGCAAGAAACAGGTGGATGATATTTTCGAATCAATTAACTAAAGTACTAACAACCAAATGACCTACAGTAGATTGGCTAAATGGTCTCTTCTCCTTTGCAAGCTTTCTTATGTTGTGTTTTCATTTCTATTTTGGTTCATGCTGTCAGTTTTAAAATATTTGATTAAATCCATTAACCCCAGGTTTAGTATTCATTTTGTGAATACATAAAAATCTATATAACGATTTCCATTCTTTTTACTACAAGTAGAAGCAGTACTTCTTCAGCAGTTGAAATACTACAGAAAAATAATAATTTAATATAATACATGGTTTAAGAAGCATGTGTAACTGCCTAGCCAAATGTTTTTGTCAGAAGTATTTGGGAGAAGAACATGAGCAGATCCATGATGGTTATTGAGATAAAAGCTAGTCAAGTTTACTGTATTTAGAATGCAGTGTTTCAGTATGAATATGTCACAAATGGGACTGAATTAAGTTTTTAGGAAAAAGAGCACCTTGATTATCCCTAAAGTAGAATTTAAAATATTAAATTCAGTAATATTACAAAAAAAACATTTATTAGTTTGTCAATGACTGGAAGTTTTCTCCTAACTTTTCCTACCCTTTTTCACATTACATTTAAAAATTGTACTTTACATCATCCATCCATGAAAAGGTGACCATCACCTTTCTTCTGCTTCAGAAGAAAAGCATTTTTCTTAATTTAATCATGCTTTTGAAAATATAAAATTATCACTTGCTTTATACGTATAAAACAAATATGAAAAAATGACATTTAATTTTTGTAGGATGAATCAGATAAATCAATATTTTAGTAAAATTGTGCTATACAGAAGAT